ATTATAACAAAATATCAAGTGTGCTATATTTTTGGAAAGGTAATTTTAAATTCTTTTCAGTTAATTAAAAATATAGAGGGTGTCCCAAATAAAAAATCAATTTTTCTGTTGATAACTCTCAAATTATTAATTTAAAAATAATTATACTTAAACCATTAAATTCAACGTAAAAAGGTGCTTTGGAAATGTTTTCATAGAAATACAAAATTTTCCATAGCAAAAAAGTTACAGCGATTTGTTAAAGATGCACATTTTTGAAAAACACCCCGTAACTCCGAAACGGTAACAGATATTGATGTGCGGTTTTCACCATCATGTTTTTGATGAAAATTGAGCTCTAGACACCGATATTAATTTTCGTCTATCTCCTATAGAAAAGGGTGTTTCCATTTAAAAGCGTCGAATTTGACCCACCCTGTACAGTTTTTCCGAATCAATTCAAACCAAACCACACCATTGTCGGTATCATCTGGAAAATTGTTTTGTATTCTCTTCTGCTTGTTTACTTGTTTTGTTACTTTGTTTGTATTTTATGTACTTTACCTTTGTCTACAAATTGTAAAAATTTTTGACAATAAAGGCATTTATTTATTTTTTTATTTATTGAGTGAATTATTTTTCTCAGATATTTTTTCTTCTTTAATTACAGGTAAAGATCTATACAAACGACGGCCAGCCTAGTTGTTTGTTAAAACATTAAGACCATTCAATAAGTTATCGTAAGTAGCGAATGAGTTTATTTTAATTTCATTTTTAAGTATTTCCTTATATATTTAAGAAATTAAGCTTATATTAATCATATTAAACATAATAAATGTCATTAACAATAATAAGGTGTGCATTTTTTTGTAAATTTATTTATTTTTATTAGAAATATTTTTCAATATCTATTTTGAGATTTTGATATCTTTTATATATTTTATTTTGTTTCCTGTACATTTTTGGATATAATTTTATTTTGCTGAACAACACCCTTTCTTGATTTAAGGATCAAAATTAAAACAGCTAATAACGGAAAAGGGGTTATTTTTTTCTGTAACCCCTTGAAATTAGGTTTATATACCTCTTGGGGTTAGCTCCAAATTAGCTTAAACATTGTCTTCTGCTTTTTTTTCTTAATTTCAGAGAGGGTTCTTACTTCAAACGGTATAATTGGTCTATAGGGAATTTTGGGAAAAGTTTTTTTTGGTTTGGTTATAATTTAGTAAATACAAATTAATTTCTTGATTACATTACGATCTCTTTTATTTTTAGATAAGTTTAAAATGTTTAAAGAAAATATGAAAAAGGAGTTATTAAGAAAATTAAATGAACTGAAAATTAAATTACTCGTAGCGATTTTTACCAAGAGAACTTTTTTACTTAAAAAACGTCGTAAATGTATAATTTTTGTCTCACTAGTTTTATACAGGTACGGATGAAAAGTTATTACTCTTCAAACCAGTTAAAAAATATGTAGATGGCGCCCTCTACAAGTAGGAGTCATATTGACATCAAAATCGAATTTCTCGTGTCAAAAAACTCCTAGACACCAATTTTTTATCCAAATAATGACGTTACTTTAGAAATTATTTGGAAAAAGTCCAAATAAAAATGAAACTTCTACACCTACAAAAATCTGCCATTTAGACCACAAAAATCATTTTCACTCAATATACAGGGTGGTTCGAAGAGTATTCCGGAAACTTTGGTAGCATATTCTGCAGATAAAAAGAAGTAAAAAAGTTTTTATAAATATATTATGTTCTAAAATGCTTTGTTTCGGAGATACAAGGTGTAGAAGTCTCATTTTCATTTCGATTTTTTCCAAATAATTTCTGAAGTAACGTCAATATATGGATGAACATGGTGTCTGGTAGTTTTTTGACATGAAAAATTTGATTTTGATGTCATCGTGACTCCTATTTGCAAAGGGCGCCACCTACATGTGTTTTAACTGTTTTGACGAGTAATAACTTTTGTCCGTACCTGTATAGAACTACCGAGTGAAAAAATATACATTTACGACTTTTTTTGCTTAAAAAAGGTCTCTTGGTAAAATCGCTAGGAGTAATGGTTCTCGCGATATTTGGAATCGAAATTATCAATACCTGTCATTATTGACATAAATTAAACATGTTGACTAAATAGTTACTAGACTGAAATCATAAATTTGAAATGTTTTGGTGCCAAAAATTCAACAGAAACTGTTTTATCATAATTTTTTCAGGAAAATGTATGATTAATTAAAAAAAATAAAAATTTCCCAAATTTATTATTTCAGTCAAATAATTCCATTCTAAATAGCGAATAAAATTATTCGCTATTTAGAATGGAAATAGTGAATACATGTCATTATTGACAAAAAATAAACATATGTTGAGTAGATATGGGAATTTTTTTTAAATTAATCGTAATAGGTATTGATAAATTCGATTTCAAATATCTCGAGAACTATTACTTGTAGAGATTATTATTAAGAGACGTTTTTTACGCTAAAAACGTCATAAATGTATATTTTTTTACTTAGTAATTTTATACAGGTACGAACGAAAAGTTATTACTCTTCAAACCAGTTAAAAATATGTAGCGGGCGTCCTCTACAAGTAGGAGTCATATTGACATCAAAATCAAATTTCTCATATCAAAAAACTCCCAGACACCAAATTTCATCGAAATATTGACGTTACTTCAGAAATTATTTGGAAAAAATCGAAATAAAAATGAAACTTCTACACCCTGTATCTCCGAAATTAAGCATTTTAGGACATACATTTTAGGACATAATTTTGACGCCGTTTTTTTTTTCGATCCTATATGGTACTAGTTATATTTAGAGATTGTACTAATAGTACAATTTCCCTATAACTCCATAACATAGGAAACAACATTTTAATGAACAGTGCTTTCCATAAAACCAATAAAATGAAAAATATACGAAATAATATACATGTAATGAGTTCTTTCGAAAATCGACAACTATCCCAAGTAGCAAAAAGAAATTCTAAAAGGATTGAATTATTTTATAACAGTCGAATAGCGTTGTCTTAAAGACTGCTTGATTTTATTAAGCGTTTGGTTTCGACGTTTTTTAATAAAAGTTGTCATATTAAACTATTTTCTAGTGGTTTTTACAACGTATCCTATAACGCATTAAACGATAATTTCTTTTAGTATGATATAATACTTAATAAGAGAATGATATATGATAACATACATATTATTTTATTAGACTCTTATACCCACCATGTAAGAGTTCTATAATATTCATATAACTAGTAGTCACAAGATCATATAATAGTTACTTAAACTTGTCTTATTAAAGTTGTATTACGTAGTATGATAGAATGTTTTATTGTGTTAAACTACGGTGCTGTATACAACACTAGTTATATAGCCTTATATGATAAAATTGTGATTAACAAAATAAATTCGCTGTAATATCTGCATTATAAAACTGGTAATGTATAATATAACCTCATTTCAAATTAAATGGTATACCTAGTTATTTATTTTGTTATTGTTGTTGCAAAAGTAATATCTACGTACGAGTATAATCAATCACACCTATTATGAATTCTTGAGAAAGTTGGAAAAAAGTTAACAAACGCAGTGGTAGAGCATGTAAGAAAAAAAGCATGTAAGAAAAAGTAAAAGAGCATGTAAGAAAAAACTCTTCGAAATTACGGCAAATAATCCCGAGAATTCCCTGGGTTCCTAAAAGCCAAAGAGAAAGTTTTATTCAAAATGTTTGTATTGTTTTATTGTTGTTTTTCCAAGTCCTTAGGTTGCCGCTCACTCGTCGGGCATGCATGAAATGCATTGCGTGCATGAATCCATGAAAATCTGATCATGTTTGTTAGTTTAAATACTAACCAAATGAGATTTGGCAGCATCTATTTGTCACAAATCTCAATATGTCAAAAATAGTTCTATAGTGCTTGGAAATTCTGCGTAATGATAGATATTTATCCTATACCGTTGTATTTTACAACAAAGATTTATTTAAGGGATTCATTTATAATAAAATGGTTGCAATATAATTCGCCATGTTTAAGGCGGAATTTTTGTATGGCCTATGGCCGCCATTATATGAAGCAAAATTAAAAACATCAAAATAAATTGTAAAATGTTATTTTTGAAAACTATTTTGTGATAAGATTCCCACATACAGTAATAAACTGTTTAATTAAATTAAAAACAAGAATTTTTGAAAATTTTATTTTATTTTATTGTTTAAATTTATACCTAAACCTTAATCGAAATTAAGGCGCTTTAATTTTTTGCCAGATACATACCTATAATCTACCAGTAAAATTTTCGGCGCAACAAAAATTGTCCCTACTTTTCAAACCCTATTAATGATTTTTTATATTACATATTTGTTGTACCTTCTGGCTCTACCCTCCATTTTCACCGTCGAGTAAAGTCTCCTTTTTAACAATCCACATCCTCTAGATTTATTTTACGACACGCTTAAAATATAATTTGCTCCTAATATTCTTCGGTAAAAAATAAAATACTCTTTTACCTCGTTAAATGATCAAATGTTTTTATTGTTAGTTTTATAATAGTTATATAACGCTGTGTAAAATAGTTGCATAGGAGTTGTATACCCTTTTTATAGAACTTCTACACTACTAAACGGTTGTATAAAAATGGGCCTTTTTTGGTTGTAAAGCTATCATATTACGGTCTTATAGCATTTTATACGAATTGAGGTATCCTATAAAAATGATCACATAGCTGTGTATACAGCCTTTATAAAATGAAATTTGCTACTTGGGATGAAACTATGATCCCTTCCCCGACACAAACGGTACATTGTGAGAAATTGTAGAGAGAAACAAGCCCTATAATATAGGAAACAACATTTTAATGAGCAGTGCTTTCCATAAAATCAATAAAATGAAAATTAGTAATTTTCAACGTAGAATTTGTTACGAAAAAGACAAATCAAAAAAGTTAAGAATGCAATTCTAATTCTCTAGTTCTCTAATTCGAGTTTTGGGCGTTAATTTTTAACAGTCGATATCTGGAAACGAACTGTGGAAATGAGCTGGCTCTTTTTCTGAAAAACAATTCGAATTTATAGTGATAATAAAATAATAATTACCGCCAGATTGGATGCTCTCCCGGTGAGCTCTATCGTTTCTCCATTCGCTTGAGCTGCTGATGCTGGCAGAGCGAGAGGCACTGAAAAACGAATTAAAAAGTTCTTAATGTTGCGTTTTACGAACATTCTCGCTGCATAATTCAGCTCTAACCTAATGCGCTTTTTATTCGCATTAAAACCACTACGGGCGGAGCGGAGCGGATTCCTAAAACTCAAGTGGTAAATGATTTTCTAGGTGATTTTCTATGTGCTTCTTTATACAGGGTGTCGCACAACAGGTTATTGGGGTTATAGGTTTTAGGTTATTCAAATCTGCAGAGAGTAAAAAACTACATACAGGGTGGCCCATCGAAAACGTTCCGCAAGGCATAACAGCCAGGGTATTTTTTTTTTCAAAAAATACAAAAACACGTCAATTTTGTTTGTGAGGGGGACAACTTTTGCCCCAAAAATAATTGCAAAATCTTCAACCTTCTAAGCGGGGGTGTCATATACATGTACTGATTTCTTTCGAAAATCGACAACTATGAAGATATGAACTCTTCCCCGACACAAACGGTACATTGTGAGACAGGAAATTGTAGAGAGAATCAAGCCCTGTAACATAGGAAACAACATTTTAATGAGCAGTGCTTTCCATAAAATCAATAAAATGAAAAATATAGGAAATAATATACATGTACTGAGTTCTTTCGAAAATCGACAACTATCCCAAGTAGCAAAAAGAAATTCTAAAAAGATTGAATTATTTTATAACAGTCGAATAGCGTTGTCTTAAAGACTGCTTGATTTTATTAAGCGTTTGGTTTCGACGATTCTGTTTTTTAATAAAAGTTGTCATATTAAACTATTTTCTAGTGGTTTTTACAACGTATCCTATAACGCATTAAACGATAATTTCTTTTAGTATATATAACACTTAATAAGACAATGCTATATGATAACAAACATATTATTTTATTAGACTCTTATACCCACCATGTAAGAGTTCTATAATATTCATATAACTAGTAGTCACAAGATCATATAATAGTTACTTAAACTTGTCTTATTAAAGATGTATTACGTTGTATGATATTGTATGATGAATATTTTATTGCGTTAAACTACGGTGCTGTATACAACACTAGTTATATAGCCTTATATGATAAAATTGTGATTAACAAAATAAATTCGCTGTAATATCTGCATTATAAAACTGGTAATGTATAATATAACCTCATTTTAAATTAAATGGTATACCTAGTTATTTATTTTGTTATTGTTGTTGTTGCAAAAGTAATATCTACGTACGAGTATAATCAATCACACCTATTATGAATTCTTGAGAAAGTTGGAAAAAAGTTAACAAATGCAGTGGTAGAGCATGTGAGAAAAAAAGCATGTAAGAGAAAAGAAAAATGTAAAAGAGCATGTAAGAATAAACTCTTCGAAATCTGCAGAGAGTAAAAAAACACATACAGGGTGGCCCATCGAAAACGTTCCGCAAGGCATAACAGCCAGGGTATTTTTTTTTTCAAAAAATCCAAAAACACGTCAATTTTGTTTGTGAGGGGGACAACTTTTGCCCCAAAAATAATTGCAAAATCTTCAACCTTCTAAGCGGGGCTGTCATCCCCCAACTTTTTTCAAATGGGAAGGGGGGTCAAGTGGCGTTTCAATGAAAAGGGCTTTCTATTCTTTATATTTCCCCACTTCGTTTTTAAATTTCGGTCGAATCATTTTGAAAATATGAAAGATTGAAATTTGAAAAGTACTTTTTGCAAAAAACGCATAAATTGAATTAATTAAAAAAAAACTTATCTTATTAATGAAGCAAATGCTGAAAATGTTGCCCGTCAACCTCCATGCAGTAAAACAAATTGTTTTCAATCCGTTCTAGAACATTCTGAAGAACTCCGGAGTCACTTCGCGACAAATATGAATAATTCGTCTTCGCAGGTCTTCTAATGAGGCGGGTGGAGTGCTATACACTTTACTTTTTATGTGTCCCCATAGAAAAAAGTCTAAAGGAGTCAAGTCGGGTGACCGGGGAGGCCACTCAATTGCACCCCTTCGTCTTATCCCCGAACGGGAAAGTTATTGTTTAAATAATTACGCACATTTTGAGAGTAATGTGAAGGTGCACCGTCTTGTTGAAATATTAGTTCTGCTTCAACGTATCCAGGATTGTTCTCTATGATGTCAGTTAGGGCTGGGTCGATTGTATTTTTCTGTAAATCCAAGTACATATCACCTTTTAGATCTCCAGGAACAAAAAAGGACTCACAATAGAATTTCTAAAAATACCAGCCCACACTTTCAATTTCTGAGGGTTTTGTGTGTGCACCTCGTGAAAAACCCTGGGGTTGTCCTCAGCCCAGTAACGACAGTTGTGCCAATTAACTACACCGTTCAAAAAGAAAGTACACTCTACCTAACCTGATCGTTCAACCTTGTGGCAAGTGAAAAAATGCGAAAACATCTAGAAATAATAAGAAAAAACAGCAAATTGGCCGAAGGAATTTATCTTTATCATTTACTCTGATAAATTTTTAAATAAACTTTTCATATTTCAATCCTTCATATTTTCTCAATGACTCGACCGATTTTCAAAAACGAAGCAGGAAGGTATAGATAATAGAAAGCCCTTTTCATTGCGGTACAACTTGACCCCCTTTCCTATTTGAAAAAAATTGGGGGATGACACCCCCGCTCAGAGGGTTGATGATTTTGCAATCATTTCTGGGGCAAAATTTGTCCCCCTCAGAAACAAAATTGACGTGTTTTAGGATTTTTTGAAGAAACAAATACCCTGGCCGTTATGTCTTGAGGAACGTTTTCGATGGACCACCCTGTATATCAGAAAAGTAGTTATTTATGATATGAAGGACAATTTTTTATTGTAAAAACAGTAAGTCTATAGAAGTTCTTTACTAATGATTCTTTTATAATAATAAAATGTTGATTTTTTTTAGAATTTTCAATATGTACAGGGTGTCCCATTTTCGTGTGTTTAGGGGGTTTTTCGTTTATGAGTAGAGATACAAAGATGCGGTCTCACATCACTGTACTACTGTTTTATGAAACTAAAGATGCGCAGAAACTAAAGCTATGCACATACTTCTTAAGGCGCGTCTACATTGCTCGTGATCCTGCTCGCGCTCTTGCTTCTGATTGTGCTTCAGTTGCGTGCGCTTCTTGTTTGTCGTGTTTTTCAAGATCGTTCGGCTCGCAAGCAACGGCGTCCACCTTTCTTGTCCTCACCTGAAATTATCTTGTCCTCGGCTACGCCTCGGCCGCAAATTTCAGATTCGGCCAAAAAAGATCAACTTTACGGCCTTGGTACACAAATAACTATTATTTTGGTTTAGATGGTTTTATAAAAAAAGTTGATTTTGGTTAAAAAGGGTTTATTCATTGGATTTATCTAAACTTCTTTTTTGTGTTAAAAAGTTTTCTTTTTAACACAAAACGGCGTCTAGTTTGGCTTGGAAATGAATGTCGATGACATTCCCCATATTATTTTACATATAAAATGACAGGGATCTTTATTTCATAACCATCGCTGACGCCGTTTTCTTTTGTAAGACTTTAAAATAATTGCACCTACCCTGTATAATATTCATTTTTTGATAAAAAAACTAATCTACTGATCGATGACATTCGTCAGACCGATTTTCAAAAACGAAGCAGGAAGGTATAGATAATAGAAAGCCCTTTCCATTGCAGTACCACTTGACCCCCCTTCCCAAATGAAAAGAATTGGGGGATGACACTCCCGCTCAGAGGGTTGAAGATTTTGCAATCATTTTTGGGGCAAAAGTTGTCCCCCTCACAAACAAAATTGACGTGTTTTTGAATTTTCTGAAAAAAAAAATTACCCTGGCCGTTATGCCTTGCGGAACATTTTCAATGGGCCACCCTGTATATACATATACACATACAAAGAGTAATTTCCTGCTACTGCCAATCCAGATGTCACAGCAATGGAAGCTGCTAACAAAGTTAATGATGCCATCACCATATGAAAATATTTGCTGAGAATGGGTTGATGTTGTATAACAACCAAAAATCCAGTTAAAAACTACAAAAATCAAATAATAACCTGTTGGAAATTAAGTCTTAGGAGCGATTCTCACTATAACGTACCGTCACCCGTCACAGTCACGTCTCGACAGAAAACATGAACTAAATGGAAGATGGACGTTGCCACGACGTTACGGGCAGTGTGAACATGTCTATAATATTTATATTTACTGTGGTGTCCGATGTGACGGTGGCGGTACTCGATGTGATATAGTGAGAATCTCGGTGGTATAGTGAGAATCGTGCTGAAGCAGGGCGCCCATTGAATCGGATCGGATCGGATCGACACGGCATCGCTCAGTCCGGAAACGTCCAACACCCGCTCACCAAATCGGTATGCTTCAGTTTATCAGTCGAAATATGATTTTTGTGGCGTGTAGTATATTTTAGTTCGGATTAGAATTTTATAAACAATACTTAATAATTTATATAATATGAGCTCTTCATCATCTTCCCAAGCATTTTCATTTCGTGAACTGTCATGATAATATTTACTAGCTTGATCATAGAGGTGTGGATATTCTCTAACAGTATCAATTAAAAGTACTTCGTCCATTGTAAACAATAAATAGTACACAAAATAATCAACTACAAGGTAGTACACACACTGGGGGGGGTTTACATCAAACACAACGAGAAAACTGATCGGACGTTCGGAATTTTTTGCCCTCTCTACCAAAAAAGACTGATATCGAAGTCAATCGACGGACGTTGCCGAGCGGGACTGAAGCAGTGCACGAATGTCAGTCTATTTCTACGTATTTCAAATCATTCCGACAGGACTGTTCCGTGCCGATCCGATCCGATCCGATTCAATGGGCGCCCTGCTAGTAATCTGTATCAACTATTTATTTGGAAAATATAAAGTACTATAGCGAATAATCCTAGGATAGAATGTACGGATTTAAACTGACTGGTTCCATATTGCCGAAACACATCTATAATGACACTTAAACCAATCACTGATATGATGAAAGCTACGAGATGAATTCCAACATGAATAGCTATGAGAACTTTACGGTCTAAGACTCCATGAGCTGTTCGAAACACCACCATAGCTACAAGAAAAAAAACATATAAACTATAAAAATAATTGATAATACAGGGTGGTCAGAAAGGAAATCCCCGTGAATCTTTGACAAACTATTCTACAAATAAGAATAAGTAAAAAAGTTTTTATACCGGGTGCGTCAAGTGGCTCACGCCCTATAACTTTTTTATTTTTTCAGATAAAAAAGCTAGATTTGGTATGTTAGTATATGATACAAATTAGGTTTGTTTGACGTATTCAATTGTTTTCGGTCACTTTCTGTTTCACCGGAAATGACTACAACTTTTGGTTTTTAAATTGCACCCCCTTGGTATTCTTTTACTTCGTTCGATAGAAAATAATACTCTGAATAGAATTATATATGATATGTCAACTTTTTGCATTTTCGCATATGGTTTATTTGAAATTGTAGCATGCGGTTCATAACGACAATTTGACTCGAAATACCAAGTGTGTGGTATCAAATTATTCGTAAAAAATGCTTTTTTCAAATATGTTAATGAGCCACACTCGTTCCGTTTGAAAAAATATGATTTGGACATCTTTTAACCGGCCAGGACAAGACACTAAAAACATTAGACGATCAAATCTATTTCCCAGGCTCTTTGATTTAAAATTAGTCTTTTTAACATAGCCATGGCACTCTAGACTGAAGTTTTAAATACAATTTTTTTAAGTGAGAATGCCAAAAGTTGACATATGATATGTCATTCTATTCAGAGTGTCATTTTCTATCACTATCTATAGAATGAATTAACAATAACCGAAGGTGCCATTTAAAAATCAAAACTTGTAGTAATTTTCGTTGAAACGGGAAATGACCGAAAACAATTGAATGCCTCAATCAATCCTAATTTATGTCATATTATACTGCCATACAAAATCTCGTTTTTTTATCTGAAAAAATAAAAGAGTTATAGAGGTGAGCCTTTTGAGACGCACCCGGTATATGCATGTCCTAAAAAGTTTTTTACGCGTAAAAAAATAATTTATTTAGTATACCACACCGGAAAAGTCTAGGGATATTACAATTTTATCCAGCCATCGTCAGTAATTTTATTATTTGCATTTCTGATATAATAAAATTAAAATAAACAAATAGTTTACAGGACGTATTGGAAATAAAAATGAGAAATTTACCGAATTTTTCAAATTTACCTTGATTTTTATTGAACTCCAAAAAATACACACATATTTTTTATTCTAAACAGTGAATTAAAAAAAAAGATAAAACCATTTTTACTTAATAAAGGGTATGGCCTCCTCTACTGTTCATTACAGCCCTAAATCGTCTCTCCATGCTCCTGATCAGGTTGTCGATCTCTTCTTGAGGTACAGCCTGCCACGCTGCATTCACGGCCCGAACCAGATCCCTACGAGTTTCACGAGGCATACCCATTCTCAAAATTCTTCTTTGGACCGCGTTCGATGGGGTTGAGGTCAGGAGATTGTGCCGGCCAGGGTAAGATGTTTAATTGATGAGCATTGATAAACTCACTTACCACTCTGGCTGTATGAGGCCGTGCATTGTCATGCATGAGAATAAAGTTTCTCCCAAAATCATTGGCATATGGTAACACGACAGGCTCAAGAATTAAATAACGATATGTGATTCCTGTTAGAAACCTTTCAAGAAAAACGAGATCGGGTTTTCGGCCTAACTGGACTCCTCTCCAGACCATAACTGTTCCACCTTGATAAGGGTGCACTTCCTGAACATGATCCAACCGAATACGATTTCTCGGTTCTCTCCATACCCTAAGCCTTCTCGAATCCGGATGAATTCCAAAGCGTGACTCATCCGTGAGGAGAACATTGGCCCATTGTTCATTCGACCACTGAACATGATCTTGAGCCCACAAATATCGTACCTCTCGATTTCCTCTCGTTAAGGGTTGAGCTCTCCAGGGGCGTCTGCTTCTTAAGTTGACCTCTCTTAATCTATTGCGAACAGTGTCAGGACTAACGGTTACATTACGTGTTTCCTGGAGAATTAAACTAAGCTCTGGTGCTGTAAGAGTCGGTTGGCGTCGGGCATTTAATTGTAAAAAATGATCTTGCTGAGGGGTAGTAATGCGATGTCGCCCTGTGTGCCTTTCAGCAACATCACTACTTTCACGGTAGCGTGCACTTAATCGCGATATTACACTTTGCGTTGTATTTAATGCTCTAGCTACGTCGATTTGGCGCATTCCAGCTTCGAGCATACCCATGGCTCTTAGCATTTCGTCTCTGTTAAGATGTCTACGCTCCATAATGTCGTTTAATACTAAACAGGGTTATTTGAATGAATTTTGGCCAGTTATCATAAAAACATAGCCAGTACATGTTAAATTCGTACAATTGATGCTAGGTGCTTTTTATACATTTGACAAAAAATGCACAAACACTTCTGCAAATATCCCAAATTTAGAAATAACTAGTGTGACTACTTCTTTTCATTCGAAGTAGAAAGAATCGGCCTACAAATATGTTGTTGTTTATTCAAAACATTTATTTTTAACTTTAATAAAATGATATCCCTAGATTTTTCCCGTGTGTGTAGTTTTACTTTTTATTATAGTTTTCAGTTTTAGTTTTTTTTATAGTTTTCAACATTTCAAATTACACATTTTCAAAGATATCCTTTTCAAATTCTTCAATTTAATAGCTGTATAAGTATAATATTAGTAAGAAGTTACTTCAAATATGCGCACATAGTGCACACACAGTTTTTTTTTCTATTGTATAGTCTTACCTTGAGAGTATAAAAACACCATTCCAAACGTCATCAAAAACGGATGCCAGTTGGCTTTCAATGCTAAATTCGAATTCCATGCGAAGCCCCCTTGATAGAAATAGATCCAGAATAGAAGCTTGGAGCAGGCTAGTAGACCAAATACTGTTACCCTAGCATAATGCTTGAGAACAACTTTAGACGGCGCTGTCATTATTTTAATTTTCAAAACAGTCAATTTGGAAAAAAATAAGCGAACTTTCTTCCAGTAGCAACAAACATATATTATAGTTATAACTTTAAAATGCCTATATACAAATAAATCACTGATGTGATGATTGGTTTCTAAAGATTTTATGAGTAATTGTTGGCGTATCGGCAGATGCACTATACGATTAGATAATGACGTGAAGTGTTTTTGAATTGTTGTAAGTGTTTTCCGAGATAAAACAATATTATTATCATTATCGGTACTTAATTTTTTTTGCAAATAATTTTTTTTGCTAATAAAATCGACCAAGTAAACGGTATTTATTAATATTGTTTTTTTAAATAAATAAGGGACAAAAATAAAAAAAATTGTTTCAAGAGTTTTACGGGGAAATACATTATTATCATCATATTCAGAATATTTTTTTTCTTCTAACAAAATCTACCGACGACAGTCAGATATAGTCTGTGAAACGAATAACTTTGGATTTGACAGTTCCCGCGGGCTTTTCTAGTGTAAATTTTATTAGGTTAGCAACTTGCGGCCATGCTGATGCAATGCCGTCTCTAATAGAACAGCCTCTGAGCGAGATGTATGACGTCACCCTAGTTAGATACTACGGATTAATTATATTGTAGAATACATGGAAAACATAATTATTATTCCTCGTATATGTAATTTTTTGGATTATATTCGACACTATTTTTTTCATATGACACAACACTGATGAAGGCTATAAACGTTTATTTTTTTATTTATTTTATATATTTTAGGCTATAACGTTTTTTTTAAACCAAAAAAAATAATGAAAAACCAAATGAAAATTTAATCAGTGTTTTTCCCGAACCTAAATCCCAAGAAAATCAAAAATTTTAGAATAATTTTACATATAAAATGACAGCGATCTTTATTTCATAGCCATCGCTGACGCCTTTTTTTCTATGATATTGTATTATTTGCAAATATAATTTTTCGAACATTAATGCTTGCAAAATATACATATAAATTTTGTGAATGCAAATAATAATACATCACAATTAGTAGATATTGAATGTTTTTTATTAAATTAGATCGATTTTCAAACCCCAAAATCTAAAATATATTTTACATTTTACCCATTATCTTATGTACCTATTCATTATTTGTAGGTATATTGTAAAATATTTGCTGCATTTGTATGGTTCATAGTTTATTTGCCAAAGTATTTATTACTATAAATAGGTATATATATTGTATTTATTAACTGTATATTATGTATATTTCATGTAAACTATATCAGTTTTAAAGTACAAACCAAAAATACGAGGAATAATTATGTTTTCCATGTATTCTACAACATATTTATTAATCCGTGGTATCTAACTAGCGTGACGTCATAAATCTCGCTCCGAGGCTGTTCTATTAGAGACGGCACTGGTCTGATATATAGAAATTTGAAAGGCTGATGGCATTTTACTTTTGTCAATTATGACATTTCGCATAAGTTTCGCATTGATTTTTGCAAGAAGAGGAAGAACTGTCACTTGTTTTGTTATTTTCCTTTTCTATTTCACGAAAGTAAAGAGTTACCTATCTGATTCGTTCCGGCACTCATTTTAAAGAATATCAGTAACTTTTTGGATAGAGGGATTTTATATTTGCCATGTTGGTAAAAAATAACGGTCAAAATTCAAAGTTATTCATTTTATAGACTATAGTATGAATTTTGTACTTTTAATTTTTTTAATTATTTTTAACCACTACCGGTAATACAAATGATTAACAAATTTGTTGCAAAAACTAGTAGTTTTATGGGTTTCGCATACATGGCAGGGACCAACCAATGCCCTCTATAAAAGATCAGCCTACGGGCGGACTTTTGTTTACTTCATCAGCTGTACATACTTAGATATTGGGTTAGATTCTGTATTCATATTTTGTCGGTTGATTTTTGGTATTATTTGTTATTGTAGTGCAAAAAACTAATTATTTTGGTGTTTAAGTGACATAAAGTACTACCAGATATATGGTTACTATGATGGTCAATCTGTTTCTCATAAAAAAACACGAAATATTACACGTTTTGTTAAGTGCTTTAACCTAAAAGTGCCCATAAATTTTTTATTTATCGTGATTTTTGTGTGTGTTGTTAAGACTCAACAATTCATCAATAAAGCTTAAGTGGAGTGTGTTTTTGGTGCTATGCCTCATCTTTGTTGTGTTCCTGGTGGAAAGGATAGTTATACTAGGCAGCTTAGAGTATCCGGAAGAGCAAGAAAAGTGGGTACGTGTTATAAATCAAGACAATTCTATTGAAAATATCTTTAATAAATTTAAAAGTAATATTCTCCCAGAATGGTATTAAAGAAAACTGGACAATTATGTTTATTTTATTCATATTGTGGAATCTCCACTCCAAGTGTTGTTGGTTCAGCTTCGATAGATTCAAACACGTAAGATAAACACGTAAGTAGGTATTATGATCTAGGGAAAAATAAAGAATATGTGTATTAAAGATCATGAAAAAGATTGTTATTTTGAGTTCAAAATTAAAAAAGATTTTTGTAAAGAGAAGAATGATAAAGTTTAAAAGAAGAATGTGTTTTTGTTTGATAATATAATGTATGTAAGACAGTTCTATTGCAAATATCTTTAATAAATTTAAAAATAATATTCTCCCAGGATGGTATTAAAGAAAACTGGACAATTATGTTTATTTTATTCATATTGTGGAATCTCCACTCCAAGTGTTGTTCGTTCAGCTTCGATAGATTCAAACACGTAAGATAAACACGTAAGTAGGTATTATGATCTAGGGAAAAATAAAGAATATGTGTATTAAAGATCATAAAAAGATTATTATTTTGAATTCAAAATTAAAAAAGATTTTTGTAAAGACAAGAATGATAAAGTTTAAAAGAAGAATGTGTTTTTGTTTGATAATATAATGTATGTAAAGCATAACATATATTTGTTCAGTAATTTTTACTGATAGTGTCGATTATTTATAATACCAAATTAATATCAAATATTTAAGTGATGGCTGAATACAATATGAATAAAATAACAATAAAATTGGTATATTTGCAATACAAAATTAAGTTTTAAGAATAAAGGTGTTACTAAAAATACTAAGAAGTTCATATTTCTTTGTTTTAATTGGTCGAATTTTATTTACATTTTATTTAAGAATTATACCGTATCATCGAAAAAAAATCGGCGTCTAGTTGGCTTGGAAATGAACATCGATGACATTCCCTAAATAATTGTACACATAAAAAAATTAAATAGAATTTTACAATCTTGGAAAATTTGATATTCTTGAACCTTGTTTCTAAATATTCTAAATTTTTTGATTTTCTTGGGATTTAGGTTCGGGAAAAACGCTGATTAAGTTTTCATTTGGTTTTTCATTATTTTTATTTGGTTTAAAAAAAATGTTTCGGCTAACATTATAGCCTTCATCAGTGTTTGGTTGGTTTGGTTTGATTTGAAGAAGTTAGTGTCGAATATAATCCAAAAAATTACATATATAATATTCACACCACGCACCACATAATGTTTACTGCGTACTCCATAGTCTCCATAGTCAATGTAGATAGTTTTACTGTTAAGAATAATAATTCTAAAAAACGTGGTCATCTTTTGATAAGTTTATATTAGTTTATTAATTGCAGTAAACATTATGTGGTGTGAATATTTCATATGTAATTTTTTGGATTATATTCGACACATTTACTAAACTAAACATATACCTTCCTTCATCTTTTGGGCACCTAAAGAACGATATATTGTCTGTCATTCTACTTTCACAACCATCCACTGTACAAATATTTCTAGTAGACATTTTATTCACAATTCGAACAAAACAACTAAAACACTATTTTTGGTTCACCCTATGCGTCGGACCGAAAACAAAACTAAAATAAATTTGGAACGCTGTGTACACGTCGAACAACGGATGTAGACTGACCCAAGTCTACAAGACAGGCGGTGAGCGGCGGGAGGAATTTTGATACGGACGAAGAGTGGGCCAACTGATATATTTATATTCTTTAAACTGTGGTATTAGCTTTACCTCTAGAGCATATTTAGCGAGGGAAACTTAATTAATGTAGTTTGAATACTGTAATCATAATTGGTCCTCTTTAACAAAAAATATTTAAACAGTTTTGTTGTCTTTTAATGAAATAGGTGAACTATATCGACAATATTAGTATCTGTACTCTTTGAAAATATGTTACATCTTAAAAAATAATCCAAATTGTCAATATTCCATGGGTATAGTGGTCTAAATTATAGAAAATGCATTTTTTACGAAAACTGGAAGAGATAGATAAAAAATAGTAAAATACAATTTGATAGACAATTAAATTTTGTATTTGATTCTCGTAAAATATACAGAGTGTTCCATTTAAATTAAACAAGTTATTGCCGTTTAAATATAGTAATTATTTAATATAAATTTTTAGACACTCTGTATAAGGTAGTATTTTGTTTATTATTACAAAACAATATCTGATCAATAAATAAACTTCAGTAAATATTTAGTATTAAAATCTTTGATACCCTTGGAGAAATGAAGCCCTAACATTTTTACTGCAATTTCATAAAATTGCAAATATTTCAAAAAGCGGTAAGGTTTAAGTGTGATAAACCTTAATCAATTTTATCTTTATTTCGGTCGTAGCATCTAAAAATAGAATAATATGCAGCGTGTTCCATTTAAAAAAATACAACTATAACATTTTTTACTTGTTTGGGATACTCTGTAATTTGTAAAAACATTTTTAAATTGTAGCTCTGATGGTCCTTCAACGAACCCAAAACTTACAATTTGTAAAAATCTAATCGTTTAGCTACAGTACTCCGTGTCGTATGTGTTGAACAACTCTGTATAAGATACAATCACATAATACATAATATCTATATCTATTCTGCATTTATCAAAATATCTATCTATCTACCCTAAAAACAGAAGTACTATTAATCTCGTATAAGTTATGAAAAAAAAATTTCCTGAATATTATTGAGTATTGATTTTATTTCAGAATAATTTAAATTATGCCATATGATCATAAAAAAACGACGTAACTCAAGATTACAATAAGTTTATGTATGTATGGTTATTTAGAAAATTTCATCAATCATCATTTAAAAGACAACTTGACGCCGATTTTATTTGATCATACGGTACATCTTTGCATAACAGTAGGTACTATTAATCTCCTTTAAGGTAAAGTATTTTTTTATTTCAGTATTATTGAGTATTGAATACATTTCAGATTGAGTTATTATTAAGTACACTTGTGTGATGCAGGTGTATTTTGTATTAACTTATAAACTAGTGTATAAATTAAATATACAGGGTGTAAATGAATAAGAATAAAAAAAGAAGGAAGTATTAAGTTTTTCAATTTTGCGTTGTCTTTACTGCTTGAGGTTATTTATAATATCATACACGTGTTATATACGATGAGCCTGAAAATATTGTCACAGAGGACGTCCAAATAATGACATGTATAATTCATCTGCGAATTAAAAAGATTGAGTAGTGACAGTGATTTATTTTTTGTTCTACTTATTAACAGTTCTATGTAGCCAGAAAAACGTAGATAAAAAAGTCCATGATAATGAATTTTATGTTATATTCAAATAATTTTGGAAAAACAAAAAACAAAAAAATGACTAAAAAAAATAGCAACCATCTAATGATTTTTTGAAACTTTTTCATTTAGACCCTCTATACAAGGCTTTCAAACAGTAACTCAGACATTTATAGATATTATAAAAAAGAACATTATGTACAGGGTGTCCCATTTTGGTTGAAATCATAGGGTATATCCGTTATTAATGAAGTTAGAAGGGTACCGTTTGCACAAACCTGTCCCATTTTTTTGTCAAACGGAAGATGCCGCAAACAAAATTTTCATATCGCTCTTCGTTTCTGAGCTACAGGGTCTTTTTGAAAATTTTGCAATTTGGGACAGCCACCGTATCTCCGTTATTATGGATGACATCGAGAAGGTGAAAACTGATTCTTGTAGAACTTTCTACGTAGAATACAGTGGCGTAGTTCGTTTTTCTACGAAAATAGTATTTTAAAAAATATGAACTAAAGTTATGTTTTTTCAAATGGAACACCCTGTATATTCATAAATCATATGAACCGTCTTGATATGAGCTTCTCAAAAATATATAACACTCTATATTTATTTTCACTATTAACTGCACTATTTAAAAGATACTATTTTTTTATTAGTAGGCCGTGGTAAATAACATAAAAATCAAAATGGTATTAACTAAAATGGTCATACACACATTAAAATTTTATTTGGGATTGATATATTTTTCTTTCTTTATAACGAAATTTATTATAACGGGATGGGTTTGCAAATATCTAAAAGCTTGCATTATTAAAGTATTTTCCAGGTGTTGGACATTGCTGTAGTTGCCATCATATTTCATATTTTAAAATTCCTCAAAATCAGAAATCGAGAACGGACAAATCCGGGAATCAGGGAGGCCATCATATGGGTCCATTGGTTCCAATTCATTGATTTGAGAGATAATAATTTAACAAAATTCGATTATTTTTGTTAGGGAAAGCCCCTTTTTTTCTGAAAGTATATTTCACGTAAATTAGCTAAAGGAATATCTAAAAGTTCGGGTACGATAACTTCAAAGATTTACAAATAGCGGTAGAAAGTTAAGTTTTCCTAATATATAAAAAAATTATTAGTGGCCCCTAAAATAAAACATGAAACAGATAGCAGTATACTTTTACATACATCATTCCTTTATTTTCTGTTATTATCAATCATGGCCTGCTAAAAATATGATCTTTTAATAATTTTTTTTAAATATTGCAGTAATTAGTGGAAATAGATATAGAGTGATATACGTTTTTGAGAAGCTTATGGCAAGCGAAATCGTCTAATTATTAATATACAGGGTGTTCCATTTAAAAAAACATAACTTTAGTTCATATCTTCGAAAATATTATTTTCGTAGAATAACAGACTACGCCACTGTATTCTCCGTAAAAAGTTCTACAATAAACAATTTTCACCTTCTCGATACCTTTCACAATAACAGAGATCCGGGGGTGTCCCAAATTGAAAAATTTTCAAAAAGACCCTGTAGCTCAGAAACAAAGAGGGCTATGAAAATTTTGTTTACAGCATCTTTCGTTTGACAAAAAAGTGGGACAGGTTTGTGCAAACCGCATCCTTCTATCTTCACTAATAACGGAGATACCGTATTATTTCAACCAAAATGGGACACCCTGTACATATTTTAATAACCTGCTGTTATTTGAAATGCAATAATATACAACGTTTTCCATTTAAAAAAGTTACACGTACTTTTGTGAGATTCTATACAGGGTGTTCCTTAATGACATGCTAATATTTAAGCGAGTGATTCTAGAACCTATGCTAAGAGAAAAACTCCATATGAATTTTTGTCTATTATTTTCAAAATCTCCATTTATTTCTGAACATTTTTTATCTCTTGATTTTTTTCGTCCAATCCATAGTTTTTGCTTAGAAAAATAAAGTCAGGTCATCTCTCGAATGGTTTAAGTCGTATCTGAGCAACAGAAGTCAACTTGTGAGGGTGGCTACCACGTTGTCTTCTAGCAAGCCAATAGAATGTGGAGTACCACAGGGCTCAGTGCTAGGCCCTATTTTGTTTCTTCTTTTTATTAACGACATTGCTAAAATAAATCTATAAACCTCAGCGGCAAAATATGTCTTTTTGCGGGCGACACTAGCCTCACTTGGAGCAACAAGGACATCACAACACTTCATAGGATTATATCAAATGACTTAATCACTATTAAATCTTGGTGCGATTCGAACCTCCTGAGTCTCGACATTTCTAAAACTAAAGCTTTGTCGTATAAAAACTCGTTGCAGCCTTTTGTACTTAACACCACCATTGACGCCATAAAATCTGTAAAATTCTTAGGGCTTGTTGTGGACAATTCTCTGAAATGGGATGTACATATCGAAGTTTTGTCGAAAAAATTGAGCTCTGCCTGTTTTGCATTAAGGTCTGTTTCTAAGGAGCTTAACTTGTCAGTGGCTAGAACTGTTTATTATGCACTTTTTGAGTCGCACCTCAGGTATGACCTTCCATTCTGGGGTACGTGTTGTGCGACTCAATTTGACCGCATTTTCAAGCTTCAGAAGAGAGTTGTTCGATATTCACTGGGACTGAACAGCAGAACTCATTGCCGGGACTTTTTTAAAGAATTAAAAATATTGACTCTTCCTTCCTTATTTACATTTGAATCTGTTTGCCTAATACGTAAACATGTATCCGCTTCTCAAGAAAGGCCATCTCACACTTATCCACTCAGGAACGCGGAGCAAGATCTTTATCTACCTACTCCACGCTCAGAGTTAGTTAAAAGTTCAATATTATACAACTCGAAAAAAATGCACAATCACCTGCCATTTGAAATCCAATCCATAACATCATTTTTTTCATTTCGCAGAGCATTGAACTCTTATTTACTAGACAAGGCTTTCTACGCCGTAAATGAATTATATTTTGAAAATCGAATTTGATCTTGTAAACACTGGTCTAATGTTTGCTGTTGCTATATTTACTAATGACATCGAAATAAATTTATTTAGAGGTCATTCATATTTTACTATAAACTAACTAAATATTTTTGAATATTATTTTTATTTTTTTGTTCTTTGACATTGTAAACATTTATAAATGTTTATTTTAAACAATAAGACTGACAATATTATTTGTATAATGTTTTGTATTAACTTTTGTTTGTTTGTTTGTGTACCTTGTTTTTTTTTACTTTGTTTGTTAGTTTACCTTTGTCTACAAATTGAAAAAATTTTCGACAATAAAGGCATTTATTTATTTATTTATTTATATATCAGGGTCAAATCGCTTAAAATCTGATGCGGTGACTGTTGTGTGGAAATCATTTCTCCATCGGCTGGAAGGAAATTAAGATATAATTTTTTTTCTGTATGTCAAAAGAAGTATTTTGATGCATGGAAGTCGTGTATCAAATATAACATCAGAGATATTTTGAAAAAAAAATAGAAATTTTTACCACCCTATATCTAAAAAGTTAATATGTTTGGGGCATATATTTATTCGTGAAGTTTTTTTCTTAGAATAGGTCCAAGAATCACCTCCTTTTATATAATTATGCAATTAAGGAACACCCTGTACAATTGGACATATTTTTCTGATATACCTACACCTACATCTTACTACGCAGGTCTGCAATTATAATACAAAATTGCTAAGTTCTTTATTATAGGGGCTATAGACGTCCGACGCAATGTTGTAAGATCCTGTATATTTCTTAAAAATATTCATCAATTTCTTCCACCACTCCTGGACAGTACTGCCTGGCAAGATCCAAGTAAGGCACGTCGGTGTCATCTTTTGGTACTGTCGTGTTAAAGCTCAATTTGTTCCATAAATGCACCAAATAGCTTTCTTTATCGGCAAATCTCTGTATCAAATCGTTCAGATCTTTGTCGAAAAACCAGTACCACTGTTTCCATGGTACCAGGTAAAATTTTTCAGGAGAATATATGTAGAATTCTTCACAGCGGCCTTTGTGAATTAGGAGTTTCGTTGAATTATATGGACAAATCTTATTGAATACTCTAGAAAAGAAAAAAACGGAGACAGTTTTTTAACTTTTTTAACCGCAAGGGTAGATTAAATGATACTTTAACAGCGAGGATAGGTTAAAAACTTTATTTCTTCTCGCACGTTTTTTAATTGCTCCCATTTTTGAAAATTTTTGTATTCCTTTTTATAAGTTATTCGGGATTTAAATGGAAGATAGTTTGGATATGGCGTTTGTCGCCTCAGCCTGAATATCTGTTGGTAATTTACTTATTTCGTTTTGAGCCATTTCTGGCTCCGATTCAATCAGCAATCGACACGAAAGAGAATTAAAAAATATTGACTCAAAAGTGACAACTAAAGAGATAACTTTATTTATTTGTCAAATTAGATAGAAACCAACGCCAACCCAGCACAATATTTTTTCTACTCGTAATAAATTCCTTGAAATAATAATTTCTGAATATTTTTTAAAACGTAACTTGCTATGGAAAAAAAATATTGTTTTATACATGACGATAAAATTGCATTATCGTCTCTCGAAATTAATGCATTAATCTTTTCGGTCGACGATATAATACCATTTTATCGTCTTGTATAAAAAATAACTATTTTTGCTTTATGATTTTAAAAATACCTAGTTATCAAGTGTGGTCCATTGTACGCCCAGTCGCTTCCATTGAATGTTTCCATGGCATTTTCCAAACACTTTTCCACGTATTCGTGACCCTTTCCTTCTTTACTGAAGCCCATTACGCCATTGGCCAGCACATCGATGGACTGGGCACCAGCGAAATTGTCAGGAAACGTTTCTAGGCTTTTCAGCACCACAACATCAAGGTCCAGATATATTCCACCATATCTCCATAAGACTAACAATCTAAAATATATTTCGTTTTATTTTATTAATAGTTGTTGAACCGGCTAACTTCGTATCGTACTGTAGAAAAAAAGAAAAGAGTGAATTAGAGTAGTTTTTTTGCGATTTTTCTTGTCAATTTTGTTTAACCGTTGACTGATAACTGATGAAATGATCTGTATTGATTGATACCAATCAATCTGACATTATTTCTTATTTGTTTTCTATATTTTTGTTATTAGTAGCATATTAGTAGTATCAGTATCAGTAACCATCAATTCGAAATTTGCCAAAGAATGCTGAACAAAGAAATCTGAAGAAATCAGACAAAATAAATTGGCGCCGGGAGGCACGTACAGCCGCCCATACTAAAATATGTTAATATCTCGAAAACTGCGACTTTGACTGATTTTGATGTTATTACAAATTTTGTTGCAAATATTATTCCTAATCTTAATTTGAAAATCGCGTTTCGCTAGCTACTGTAATTTTGGAGTTACGATTTTTTTAAATTTTTAACCCCCTCCCATACCCCCTTACCAACCCCCCACCCCCACCAAAAACTAATGGCCAGATTCTTGGATGCCACAGTATTTTTGTGCCAAATTTGGTTAAAATCGGTTCAGCGGTTTTTGAGTTATCGTGTTACAGACGGACAGACAGACTATAAGATATTTTAGACTAGAAAATATTTTGTATTTAGGTCATTTATGACCCAAATAACTCATTTTGAGGGAAATTAAAAAATCTTTTTTTTTGCCGATCCTAATAGCCTACCATACCTATTGGTATGGTCGACTAATAAGTCCTACTCTGACTATCAGTTCACCAAGGAATAGAAGGTAATAAAAAAGCAAACGATCTATAGAGAGAAAAGGAGCTCAACTAACTGGACTAGAACCGTTCTGCTTGTTAAATGAAAATCAACTTAAAGCAGAACTGAAGAACAGTCCCGGAGGACTCCATTCGTAAGCTGGAATGGGCATTCTCCAAAGATCTAGGACACTCGAAGGAATTACCCAAGACTTACAACCGAGAAAAATCAAAAAAATTTTTTGGTTTAAGTAAGAACATTCTTTCGAGTGTAAAGGGGTTTTTAACAGGGCATGGTCTTCTCAATTAACACCTCGGTAGATAAAAAACAACGACGAATGTAGATACTGTGGGGAAAATGGAGAAAACCCAGAACAACTGATCACTGAGTGCACCGAGACGACAACCATTCGTGCCATGAATTTTGGTACAGCTGCTGCGGAGATGGAGAGCTGGCCTCTCTAAAACCATCTCAGATGCTGGCTTTTATCAAAGCCCTGAAACGGCATGATGAATAATTATAACTCGAGAGTGGGGGACACTATAGATCTGTAAGGTCGCTGTGATTAACTTCCTCCCTTAAATATAATCTACGGCTCAAGTTTCGTTTACTTAAAATCAGTTATTGAAGAAATATTTGTTTATTTAGTGTTTGGAAGCCTTTGTATATTGTATCCACTAGATTAAGTTCATACCTACAGAAGAAAAATGTTTAGAAAGTAAAACAGGAACACGTTTTCATGTAACTTATTTTAGTTATTCTAAAGTCGGAATAAAAACCGGTAAAAAAACTTTTAAGTTAAACGGTTTTATCTTATGTGCACTGAAAACTAGAAAATAATAATAACAATTAGGTATTTTGAACTTCTAGTTCAGAAATATTTTAGTACTAGGCAGAATAGCTTTTAGGCATATTAGACTAAAATAAAAACGTGGGGCCCATTAAGTATTGCTGTACTTTACTTTCTTCTATACTAAGTGTGGATTGCATCGACTTACTATAATCGTAACTGGAGATTTTGACAATCAATAACCAGCCGTGGCGGCTTCACCAGCGAACGCCGAGCTCATGATCTACCAAAGTATAAAGATATGCTTTGCCATAGGTAGGATTTTAGAGGGGCCCCACGTTTTTATTTTAGTCTAATATGCCTAAAAGCTATTCTGCCTAGTACTAAAATATTTCTGAACTAGAAGTTCAAAATACCTAATTGTTATTATTATTTTCTAGTTTTCAGTGCACATAAGATAAAACCGTTTAACTTAAAAGTTTTTTTACCGATTTTTTATTTTCTAGTTTTTAGTATTTAACGGAAATGCCTACCGAATATTTCTCATTCTATTTAATTCATTTAGTGCATCATTATTACATGATAATTTATTACAATCTAATTCCTCAATACATAGCCCTTCCAGAGACTTGACTCGACTTAGAGCCACGTATGCTCGCCCTTCCTCAAACAATTTTGAGCCCAAATACACTACTGCATGGTCGACTGTGCTGCCCTGCATTTTATGGACGGTGGATGCCGATGACAAAATTAAGGGTAACATCCTTCTTTCAGCCGTACCATAATTGAATTTTGCTGGAAACTGTATGGCTTGCGGGTGTATAACGTGTATGCCGTCTCTGCCAAAATCAATCAAAACTGATGGTACATCTGTTTCGTACATTTGGGTTCGACGGAACTGAGGCCAAACAATTTCTGTAATGTGGCCTATAGCACCATTTACCAATCCTTTTGTAACGTCAATGTTGGACCGCAATATTTTCACAAATTCATCACCTATTTTTTTTTTATCTGTCCTTCTACCGTCACACAATCTTGGACACAACTGTTCTGGACACGACTACTCATGCCCTCACCTAATACGCCATTTTGTAACGACGTCCATCTTGGATTTTAAATTTTGTCATAATCACAGTATTCTACTAGTGTAGCCCTTTCATTTGATACCCATATTGAGGGGGTTGTGGAAAAATATGAAATCCGCCATTTTGTACCGGCGGCCATCTTAGATTTACAATGTTATTGATATTACTATATTGTATTATCATCGGAACTAAAGGTGTGTACCAAATTTCACATCAATCTGACAACAGGAAGGTACTTAAATTTCAATTTCTAATTTTGACCCAAATAAACAAACAAATAAATAAATACCGTTTAATAAAAAAGAGCATTTCCGCAGAGAAATTTTGATGATTTTGTGTTTGGGGAGGCTTCTATATACTGGATGTTTTGTTGTTTTTTTATAAATTCATTAAATTCAAGTAAAAAAACTTTATCCCAATCTACAATCTATCGATGATTAAGTTACTATTTCAGATATGTTATGCTATTCTATTGAAATTTCAGATATACACACAAATGTAAAAGAAACAGTTTAGAACTCAAATTTCATAAACTTTCTATTAATTTCAAAAAATAATTGTTAAATAATATTTTTAGGGGAATTTTGAATAGCTTATTCCTTATAACAGGAATGCTAGAATGCTAGTTATACCTTAAGATGTCACTAGTATGTACCATTGGATAATGGGATTGGTTCATTAAGCCTGAAGTCCACAAAGTTTCCACTGGTGTGTTTTTTACAAACCTCTGAACGTCAAAATGCAATATGTGCAAGTTTGGATAACTTTTCAGTAGTTTCAGGTATCTGTCTGACTCTTCATTTCCTTCTAAAATTAATTATTTCCATAAATACTGTTTATAAGTTGAATCGCCTATTTGTATATAAAATATACAGGGTGATTCTATGATCTGATATTATTTCACATAAAAAAAAGAGATTTGGTATGTTGGTAAATGACATAAATTAGGATTGATTTACGTACTTAGATGTTTTGGTCACTTCCTGCGTCACCGGAAATGACTACAACTTTTAATTTTTAAATGGCACCCTTGGTATTTTTTTACTCTATTGGATAGAAAATGACACTCTGAATAGAATGACTTGTCATATGTCAAATTTTGACATTTTCGCTTTAACAAAAAAATCGTATTTGAAATGTCAATCTAGTGTGCTATGGCTGAGTTAAAAACACTAATTTTTATTCAAGGAGCATTAGAAAAATAGATTTGATTGTCTAATGTTTTTCGCTCGGTTTTTCGTGTCTTGTCCTGGCCAGTTAAAAGATGCCCAAATCGTATTTTTAATCATATCTCAATTTTTTTCATGGAACGATGGTGGCTCATTAGCATATTTGGAAAAAGCATTTTTTACGAATAATTTGGTACCACACACTTGGTATTTCGAGTCAAATTATTGTTATGAACCGCATGCTACAATTTCAAATAAACCATATGAGAAAATGTCATAAGTTGACATATGATAAGTCCGAGGATAAGTCATTCTATTCAGAGTGTCATTTTCTATCGAATAAAGTAAAAAAATGCTAAGGGTGCCCTTTAAAAAGCAAAAGTTGTAGTCATTTCCGGTGAAACAGGAAGTGACCAAAAACAATGGAATACGTCAATCAATCCTAATTTATGTCATATACCAACATACCAAATCTCGTTTTGGTATTTTGTTTATTTAAAAGAACTATGCTCTCCATAAAAAAACTAGTCTAAACTACTACCACCATAAATCACTCTCTAAAGAGGTTTAGTTTTAAAACACTGGCAGGTGAAACTTATTTATTTTTATTATCATAATCATCCCTAAGCTTACTTACCCCTAAATCCACCTGTCGAAGCATATAACACATAGACATCCATATTTGGATTCATTCTAGCCGCACTTTCCACTGCACAAGCCTGTCTGGTACTAATAACAATCCTCTTAGCATTGTAAGACTTACAGGACGTCTCCAAAAAGAATATTTTTCTTCTGTTTTCATTTAACACCACATCAGAAATATCTTTAAGTTGTTCTTTGCCTTGTTTATAATGACATGAGAGCTCGTCTTTACCAATAACTATTCTAGCGGGATAGACATCTTCTATATCGGAGTTTTCGATGGTTTTCATGGAGATAGCGAAGAATACCAGGGTGAAAAGGACAGAGCTCAGAAAAAGAAGGAAAATCGATTTTTTCGATATCATTTTATCATTTTCGGTTTAGGTAATTTCAGATCCTGCAAATAGAAATAAGAATTAAAATACAGGGTCCATCTGTAGTTCGTGCAAACCAAAAGTATGTATTTCAGGAAAATATTTTAACTTCAATAGGGTGGCTCAAAAAAGTGTAAGTGGATTGGGATGATTTTTTTAAATGGAAAAAATCATCCTCTGTGTATTGTTGCATTTTTGGCTTCCTTTCAGAACGCTTTATATAATACTAAGATATGAGTTAATATATATAGATAATTTCCGAGATATTAATAAATAAATAAAATAATATATGTTTTTCAAACTTCCTTAAAAAAATAGTACAAATAATACAAGAACTGTCCTGAAATCAAAACTGTATTAGGTATTTACTTTACATGGTCTATACTTTCTTTGCTATAAATATCGCAATCTTAAATCATACAGGATGTTCAAAATTCTACGTCAAACTTTCTAGAATATAAAATAATTTTTATTTGTTTTTTTAATGCAACACGCTGTATATTATTTTTTATTAGATGGAGAATTAAAAAATAACCATTTTGTGTATTTAAAGTATTTCAAAATTTTTAATGGTTTCGCAGATACACGTGGTATTATTTCATATGGCTCTTTTAACGGTAAAATACCAGAGAAAAATGATTGGGTGGACTTGATAAAAATTTATTGTGAAAAATGCCATATGAAATATAAAACAGCAAATATCTGCGAAACCGTTAAAAATTTTGAAATAATCGAAATACAAAAAAAATGTTCATTTTTAATTCTACATAAATATATTGAAAATATAATATACAGGGTGTTCCATTTAAAAAAAAGAAGAAAAATGATTTCATATTTTAGAAAGTTTGGCGTAGAACTTTGAACATCCTATATAATACGAAAAAAATAATATATAGCAAACTAAGTACAGACCATTTTAGGATTATATAAAATCATCTGAAAGGAAGCCAAAAATACATTAATATACAGGGTGTTCCATTTAAAAAAAATCATCCCGATCCAGTCACACCTTTTTGTGCCACCCTATAGTCCCTATAGAAGTTAAAATATTCTCCTGAAATACATCCTCGTACATAGTTTAGGTTTGTACTTAAAAAAAATTGCCACGTATTTTATTCTAGGAGCTACAGATGCTATTTAAGTTTAAAACTAAATTGAAATTCGTACCAATTTTCCATGTTGGCAAAAATATATCCACGTTTTATTTCACTATTCACACATGACTGTTTCGGAGAAACTATATTAAAGGATCTGTCCAGTATCAGTATGGGAGATTATTACTGATAAGATTATACTATTTACTTAATTTAGGACATCTCTGGTTTTCTAATTACTGTGTAATGCATAGAAATGTGTGGAAATTATTTTCATACAGTAAACCAAAAAAATACTATACAAAGAGCTTTAGTAAGAATACGTAATTGGAGTTGGCTTATAACTTTATATTTTTATTATTTAAAAGAAACTATTATGTTGATTTGGTTTAATCCAACATACAGGGTGGCCCATCGAAAACGTTCCGCAAGGCATAACGGCCAGGGTAATTTTTTTTTTCAGAAAATTCAAAAACACGTCAATTTTGTTTGTGAGGGAGACAACTTTTGCCCCAAAAATGATTGCAAAATATTCAACCCTCTAAGCGGGGGTGTCATCCCCCAATTTTTTTTTAATGGAAAGGGGGGTCAAGTGGTACCGCAATGAAAAGAGCTTTCTACTCTCTATACTTTCCCGCTTTGTTTTTGAAAATCGGTCGAGTCATTGAGAAAATATGAAGGATTGAAATTTGAAAATTTTATTTAAACATTTATCAGAGTAACGATAAGGATAAATTCCTTCGACCAATTTACAGTTTTTTCTTATTATTTCTAGATGTTTACGCATTTTTTCCCTTGCCAGAAGGTTGAACGATCAGGTGCGCTAGTTGCTAAATAGCTGTTCTGTGACTTGTGCGTTGAAGCGGTTGAAGTTCTTTTCAGTATCGTTAAACTTTTTAACAATTATGGTGTACTCACTTGCAGAAAGAGTGGAAATAATCGAACTTTATTTTAAAAATAATGAATGTGGCAATCGGGCTGCTGCGTTTTCGATGGGCCACCCTGTATAGAGATTGAATGTAAATAAACAATTCCTTAATCAATAATCATCAATAAATGTCTATACTTATGCCAAAAGTACAGTATGATCGAAAAAAAATCGGCGTCAGCAATGGCTATGAAATTATCACTGTCATTTTAAATGTAAAATTTTACTGAAAACGTCATCGATCATCATTTTCAAGCCAACTGGACGCCGTTTTTTTTTCGAATGTACTATACTGAAGGCTTGTTCTGAAGTCTTCATTAATGATAACGTCCAGATTCAACAAGTAGACAAATTGAAATACCTGGGTGCTACTCTTAACAACGAGGGTTTGGGCAAAGAAGAAATACAAACCTGAATTCAGAAGAGCAAATGGGCTCCCCAATTTTTTGGGAAAATTGGCTGTGTTGCTGAATTTATTTAATAAAATTTAGTAATAAATTACATTAATAAATAATTTATTAATTTTATTTTAATTTTAATTAATTAATTGTGATTAATAAAATTGCGTTTATATGATCAAGAAGATCGAAATGTACAAAACGTCAAGATAGAACTTTTTAATCAACCTACACACTTTTGCTAATAACGGAAAACAAGTCAGCGGCGCATATGTTATTTTAGAAAAATACTTTAGTGATCACCCATATGAACGTCACTGGTAAATCTAGAAACTTTTACCCTCCAAATTTCATTCGAATCGCTAAAAAAACTTGGTAGAAAATTATAATAAATCGAAAAAAAAAATGTAATTTAAATCTTATTTTTACGTCAGGATTCTCTCCATAAGACATGACAAATGTTTGTTGAAACACCCTATATAATAAAATATAATAAAATTAGATAAGAGTTCTTTCCTTGAACTGCTAATATAGAAATTAATTCCACGCTGTGTTCGTCATAATGTGGATCAACCTGCTCTCACTACCGGTTTCGGGGCCCTACCCCATCATCAGGTGAGCTTGGGTATTTCCACAAAACGACGAGCACAGCGCAGAGTATATAAATACGACTTGTCGAAAAGTCGCGGTAAGATATTAAGTCCGGCATCTCGAGATAGCGGCCTATGTGCACTCGTAGTACTTTCGTACCACCGAGAAATTTTTGTGGAAATACCCAAGCTCACCTGATGATGGAGTAGGGCCCCGAAACCGGTAGTATGAGCATGTTGATCCACATTATGACAAGCACAGCGTGGAATTAATTTCTATATTAGCAGTTCAAGGCAAGAAACTCTTATATCATTTTATTATATACCTAAAAACTGCAAGAAATTTATTTTCCATTATATATTTTGGGCTAGCCGAAAAAAGCCTTTATTTACTATCGATAGTTGTGCCTCGGTGGTACGAAAGTACTATCATTGCACATAGGCTGCTATCGCTATCTCGCGATGCCGGACTTAATATCTTACCGGTACTTTACGACAAGTCGTATTTATATACTCTGCGCTGTGCTCGTCGTTTTGTGGAAATACCCAAGCTCACCTGATGATGGGGTAGGGCCCCGAAACCGGTAGTGAGAGCAGGTTGATCCACATTATGACGAGCACAGCGTGGAATTAATTTCCATATTAGCAGTTCAAGGCAAGAAACTCTTATATAATTTTATTATATACCTAAAAACTGCAAGAAATTAATTTTCCATTATATAAAATATAATCTTTGTTAATCTTTCTTTGGTGTCATCTTGGAATTTTTCTGGTTACGTCCAGTTTGTACATCTTGGATACCTTCGTTTGTTTTTATTTTTCTGTTTGTCTGTTTTAATGATTTAACAGTGAAATGATACAAATAAGACTCAGTATATCGGTCAATATCGTGTTTATGTATGATTACCTAGAGATACTATTTTTAATTTTGGCATAATGGAAAGGTCAAGAACTAAATAAAGGGCTTGGACCCTTTATACCCTTTATAAGAAAAAGGTCAAGAATCGTTTATATTTTAGGAAAATGTCAGATTGGCAATTAGTTTATGATTATTTTTGCTTGCATGGTGCAATAATTTTTACTTGAAGATATTTAAAAGTGTTTGTTTACTTCTAGTTAACTTAACTATTTTAGTTATATGTATATTTCGAAAATTTACCTGATCATGAACCTTCTTTCGCAATTAAAAATAATATTGAATTCGTTAACAAAATTAAAGATATAACATTGCATGAAGGTGAAAGTTTGGTCTCCTTTGATGTATCTTCGTTGTTCCCAAGTGTTCCAATTCCACATACTTTAGGCTACTTGAAGGAATTACTGAACGCAAATGGTCTCGACAACAAAACTGTGACTGAATATATTGAGCTTACATCGTTATGTATGAAACAAAATTGTTTTCAATTTAATAACAACTTTTTTGAACAGCGGGAAGGTACAGCAATGGGTAATCCATTGTCTCCATTTTTGGCTAATTTATTCATGAGCAGGTTTGAAGTGGAGGCTAAGAATCAGTTTGGGTATTTTCCAAGAGTATGGTTTAGGTATGTGGATGATATTTTTGCTGTTTTTGACACACATTCAGACACTATAGATAATTTTATTTCTAAGTTAAATAATCGTTTTCCTTCCATTAAATTTACGCATGAAATTGAGAACAACGACAGATTACCATTTCTAGATGTATTAGTTATTAGAAATACTAATAATTGCCTGGCATTTGATATCTATAGGAAAAATACGACCACACGCAGATATATTCCTAATGAATCACATCATAGTGTTGAACATAAAATGGCTAGTTTAAATTTCTTAGTTCATAGGTTACTTAGTTTCCCACTTTCCAACGAAAGATATGAAATAGAAAGAGATTACATTAGGAATGTAGCTGAGTGTAATGGATATTCTCCTTTACTAGTTGATAAATTAATTAGAAAACGTAGGTATAGGTTAATGATTTCTGAAAATTCGACTTTTCAAGTGGAGAAGGATACGTCTAAATATTTTTCGATACCGTTTGATAGAGAGTTATCCCGTGGTCTAAAAGGAATTTTTAAGAATGTCAATTATAAACTTGTGAATAGTGCTAATAATAAATTACAACAATTATTAGGTAATCCAAAGGATAAAACACCTCCACTGGAAAGGTCAGGTATTTATGAAATTTCTTGTAATCAGAAATATGTTGGGCAAACTAGAAGATCAATATTAACTAGATTTAAAGAACATTTAGCTCAGATAAGATATGGTAGACGGGATAAATCTTGCGTTGTCGAACATATTGTTGATAAAGAACATTGTATAGATCTTAATAATTTAAAATTAATTAAACAAGTCTCAAATTACAGGCAATTAGATGCATATGAAAGCATCAGAATTAATAAATGTAAAGATAGTATGAACAGAGACAACGGTCCAATTCCTTCAAGTTCTTTGTTCCTACTACTCTAGTGGCGGAAATAAATAGGGGTTAAAATTGGGTGCCTATAAAAAAAATGTCGCATATTATGATATTGGTATCGACTTGCAGGTTTTCCAGGATAACAAAACCGAATATAACCTCCCCCAGTTATTTTATGGTGCCATTTAGGCATTAGGTGGGGGTAAAACGTACAAAAATTATTGAACATTAAAGTAAAACTTTAATGTGCTATTATTTTATTGTTTTAAACCAGATTAAATGCAATTTGACTGAACACTCTTATTTTGCAGGGTCGTGAACAAGGGGGGGTTCTTCGTAAAGATTTTAATAAACGCATTTTTCGGGTCAATTTAGTTTTAAAAAGCAATAAAATAAACATATTAAATTTTAAAAATATTTTTTCAATTTATTAACTCATTTTATTTATTGTTTACAACTCCAAATCGTCGTCGTTCTCGTTGTCACTGCAATTCGGCAAATCGGATTCTTTATAATACTGCCTAAAAAAAGTATAAGCAATAAGTTACAAGTATTTTTACGTCTTTTGGTAGTTTGGTTGCAAATTAAGAGCCGATAGTTCAATTACCCTACATTACTGCAATTCTCTCTACATATAATAATAATAATAATTATAATAATAAATGTCTTTATTTAAGTCAGTTATAATAACAAATAATGATTACATAAATTTTTAGACGGCGAGATCTAGCATAGCTACTCCATCTAACCGTCGCAGGAAATATGTATAAATATATAAACAAAATATTTATCCATCTATATGCAAATAGATTCTCCCATTT